AGGCGGAGGGAAGGGCATGTAGGGAGAGGCGAGCGTTTTAAAGGCCCACTGAAAGAAAAGGTGGTATTCTGTCTTGCCTTATTCCCAGGCCAGTCTCCCCTGCACACATTGTTTTCTTTTCTTTTTAACTAAGTCATTGGAGTGGAATTGGCAAACAGTAAAATGCACCCATTTTAAGTGTACGTACAGTTGAGTGCTGACAAATGTAAACACTTCGTGTAACCACCTCCACAATCAGGATTCAGAACTTTTCAGCCACCCCAGGAGGTTCCCTCGTGCCTTTTCCCCTGCGCCCATTTTGAGATACGAAGAGGAGGGTAAGAGGCTCCCTGTCACTCAGAAGGGCAGTCCACCCCGGTCTGTTACAAGCACAAAGCTGCACGGCAGTGACGAGGCACTACCACACCTTTCTGGGTCCCATCTGAAGAAACATTCACACTGTTAATGTCCAAGGAGACAGTTATAAGGTTCACTGCCGCCCTGTTTGGGTTAGTGCAAAACTGGAAACAACCTAACACCTCTCCATTGATAGTTGTGTGCTGTGGAGTCGATTTCGACTCAGTGACCCTAAAGAACAGAGTAGAACTGCCCCACAGGGTTTCTAAGGAGTGGCTGCTGAATTTGAACTGCCAACTTTTTGGTTAGCAGCCTTAACCCCAGGTTAACCACTTTGCCAGCAGGGCTCCCCCACTGATAAGGCAGTACTTAAATAAACTCTCCTTACTATGGAATACACAAACCCAAAACTTGTTGCCATTGAGTGGATGCCCACTCATAGAACTGCCCCACAGGGAGGGTTTCTAAAGCTGTAATCCTTACAGAAGCAGACTGCCACATCTTTCTCCTGCACAGAAGCTGGTGAGTTGAATGACCAACCTTTAGGTTAGCAGCTGAGTGCAAACCACTGCACCACCAGGGCTCCTTGTATTCCTGCCCCATAGGGTTTCCAAGGAGCAGCTGGTGGATTCAAATTGCCAGTCTTTTGGTTAGCAGCCAAGCTCTTAACCACTGTGCCACCACGGCTCTGTAGTGGTTAAGTGCTACAGCTGCTAACCAAAGGTCAGCAGTTTGAATCCAGCAGGCGCTCCTCAGAAACTGTATGGTGCAGTTCACTCTGTTCTGTAGGGTCGCTATGAGTCGGAATCGACTCGATGGCAATGGGTTTGGTACTTAAAAAGGATCCTTGGTGGTGCAGTGGTTAAGCACTCGGTTGGTTTTTTAAGGGTACTATGGAATACTCCTTGGAGCCCTGGTGGCGCAGTGGTTAAGAGCTACGGCTGCTAACCAAAATTTCGGCAGTTCCAATCTACCAGCTGCTCCTTGGAAACCCTATGGGGTAGTTCTGCTCTGTCCTATACGGTCTCTATGAGTTGGAATCATCTCAATGGCAGTGAGTATGGAATACTACTCAGCAGCAGTCAAAATTGAAATGGGTCTCCAGGCGTGGCATGGAAGAATTTCCATACTGTTGTTAAAATAAAAAGTTGCAGAATAAGCACAGTACAATAGCATTTATGTGAAAAACACATCTACAAAATAATCCCATTCATTTTCTGTAGGGACATGGAATTACGTAAACTGTAAGGATCTGCAGCAAACTCTTACCAGTCCCGTTGGGGCCAGGGGTGGGGGAGCACTGGGCAGGAACATGTGAGATTAAAGGATTAAAGATGGTGGACAAAGGGGACTTTAAATTTATGGCTAATGTTTTTACATTTTTCACAAGGAAGATATATTCATGTGTGTTACGTGGGAAATTAAAAATTAATTTTTTAAAAATAATTAAAATTATCCTTATTTCAAAAGCTATTTTGTAGGCTGCATTGTTGAATTCTCCCCTCCCCCCTCATACTGAAGCCATGGCTCCATCAGATGGTGGTCCGGGGAGAAGTGTCTTTTGTTTTTACTTCTTAGGTATGTGGGAGGTGGAGGGAATGGAGGGGTCTAGTCCCTGTTTCAGCGGTCTCTGCTTCCAGCTGAGGTCAGAACCCAGCAGTTTCTATTCTCCAGACAGGAAACTTCATAATACTCAGCTCTCTGGTCTCGGGTACCAAACCCACACCCTGGCACTCAGTCCACCTATCTTCCTGCCCAGCTGGTAGTGTAGACAAACTGCCTTAGAAAGCAGGGAGAACCTGGCCCAGCTTAGCCATCCCTCTACTGCCACACATGTAAAAGGGGCTCCTGAAGGATTGGGTTCCAAACGAGTCTGAAGAGAGTATCTGAGGTATTTCCCCTAAATATATACCCTAGAGCATGGAAAGGAAGTGGACAATGAAGAGGAGAGGGGTAGAGAAGGGCCCCTCACACCCACTAAATTATTCTACCCCTGTTCCTGAACAAAACTTTGTCCTTTTAGCCTGAACTATGGTTGTCCCCAAGCTTGGCCAAGTGGGCATGGGATAGTGGGGGAATGAAGGGAGCCTCATCTCCAAGGGCACCCAACCAAAGCAACCCCTGTTAACGCAGCCAAAGCAGGACCAAGAGGCTGTGAAATGCCTCATTCGTGGCTCCCCTAGACCCCAAGGTCACTGAGGATCTGAGCAGAAACACCCCAAAGCTGCCCTTCATTCCTTTCCTTCTATTTGTCTGACCCTTACAGACCCCCATCTCAATGAGATGACTCTGATCATTATAGCCAATCTGGAGAATAATTTCACAAAGCTGGTTCCTATGAGACAGAGGTTAAAGATGTCCCACAAAAAAATAAAATAAAAAACAAACAAAAACAAAAAGATGTCCCAAATGTCCAACTTTTCCAAGCTGCTGTACCACTCCATCATCTCTAACATCAACTACTCCCTCTCCCCTCAGTACTCTGCCTCCCGTCTTCGGGTTCCATAATTTGCTCCAATGTTGTGGAGGCTGGCAAGTCCCACATTCATGGGTCAGGCGTCAGGCTGGAGGCTTCTCCCGACTCATGGCTGCAGGGGCTGACAAACCCAAATGGGCAGGTCAGACGACATGCTGCTGGCTGAAGTTCCAAAAACCAGAGGTCAGATGGTGATGAGCTGGATGCAGGATCCAGAGCATGGTGGGGCTTGTTGGGTGTTGGGAAGTACACTTTCAGCACTTGGAGATGAAAAAAAAAACAATCACCCAAATTGACCCTGACAGGCTTCAGGGCTGGGTCTGGGATGTTCACTGTAGTATCCTCAGGACTGAGGAGGACTCAGTGTTAATAATTAATAAATTCTAAGAAAGGGAAGAGGCTTTAACCAAATTTAAGTACAAATAAATAGAGCAAAGAATAATCATATTGGTTGATGAGAGGGCTGCCATACCCACTTTCTCTTAAAACATTTTTTGGTGCATCCTCAAGAGATACTGGAACCATAAAAATCAGTCAGTATGCATGGAGACACAATACAGGTGCAATAAACCTATGTCTTTTCCACTATACATACTAGACAGAGATTGCTAATGATACGCAGTATGTAAAGCATAAGGCCCACAATGAGTGTGAAAGGAGAGAGGGGAATCTGGAGTTTCCTTGGGTAGTTCACTTCTTGCAAGCTTCTCATAGCATGAATGTCTTCTCATCACGTTGAATATGACTCTAGTATTTAACGATACATACTTTTGGTACAATAAGGCCTGTAAACTCAAGCCGGCAATTTTGGGTACATACCAGCCATGTATGTGGTCCCTGAGACACTGAAAGGGTTTTCAAGGGTATTTTTGACCCCACGCAATTTCTACGTTGTGGCCTGACTTCAGAACCTCCCACAGGTGTAGTGTGCTGCTCCGCCATTGGCAGAATTTGCGTTCTGGCAAATCACCTAGGACCCCAACCTGGGGTGTCCATGACCAAAGACTTTGTCAGAAACAGGCTGTCACACAGGAAGTTTCCCAAGCACATCCCTGAGGCAGCGGTCACAGTTGTGGGAAGCTGGTCCAACCTGTCAATCTTGCCCAGCTGAGCAGCCCCCTGAATCCAGCATTTCCCATCCTGCCTGTGTGTGTGTTTATGGGCTTAAGGACAACGACTGCCCTAACAGTCAGCTTCACTCAAAGCAACAGCACAAAGCGCCTTCCAGAACTCGCCTTCGGCACAACCCGCTATAATCCTATAAGATGCTTCACAGCCACGCATAGTTCCCCATGAGCCAGAAGCCTGGAGACTGGAATAAAGACGGCTGTTCTGCATTTCCAGCAACGGTGCCAGCACAGGGTCTGTGGTCTCACCCCGGCCGAGCAGGGCTCATTTATGCTGCCTGTGGAGTGGTGCGCCTCCACACACCAGCCGGGCCAGCCCCTGCTGATTAGCTCCTTTCAGACGAGCAGATAGCTGGGCATGGCTGGAAGCCCATCTGTCAACTCCTCAAATCCCACTGCCTTGACTGTGAGCAAAGCAGGCCCAAACCAAAAAAAACCCACTGTCATCGAGCCGATTCCGACTCATAGTGACCCTAAAGGACAGAGGAGAATTGCCTCATAGGGTTTCCAAGGCTGTAAATCTTTATGGAAGCAGGCTCCCACATCTTTCTCCTGCAGAGCAGCTAGTGGGTTTGAACCACCGACCTTTTGGCTAACAGCCAAGCACTTTAACCACTGCGCCACCAGGGCTCCTTAAGCAGGCCCAGC